TTTTTAAAAAAAGTGGGGGTGCCTGGCTGGCTCAGTCGGTAGAATATATGACTCTAGATCTCAGGGTCGTGAGTTCAAGCCTTGTGTTGGAGTAGAGATTACTTAGAAGAAAAAAGTGTATATCATCACCCTCATTTCCCCCATATGATCTCTGTCACACCAGAAGAGCCGCACCAGCATATAAATACACCTTCCTAGGGGCACCAGGGTGGCTCAGTCGGTTAAGCATCTGACTTCCACTGGAGTCATGATCTCAGAATCTATGGGTTCCAGCCCCATGTTGGGCTTCATGCTGATGGCTCAGAGCCCAGAGCCTACTTCTGATTCTGTCTGTCTGTCTGCCCCCCGCCCCCAGCCCACACTCTCCGTTTAAAATATTTTAAATGTTTATTTATTTTTGAGAGAGACAGAGATACAGTGTGAGCAGGAAAGGGGCAGAGAGAGAGGGAAACACAGAATCTGAAGCAGGCTCCAGGATCTGTTCTGACAGGAAGCAGGGCTCCCACAGACCATGAGATCATGACCCGAGTAGAAGTCAGACACTTAACTGACTGAGGCACCCAGGTGCCCCAAAAACAAATATACATTTTAAAAAAACTTATTTTTATTTTTAAAAAAAATTTTTTTTAAAAGTTGTAATGTTTTTTATTTATTTCTGAGAGAGAGAGCGACAGCGTGAGCAGGGGAGGGTCAGAGAGAGACAGAGACAGAATCTGAAACAGGCTCCAGTCTCTGAGCCGGCTGTCAGAACAGAGCCCGATGCGGAGCTCGAACCCACCAACTGCGAGATCATGACCTGGGCCGAAGTCAGATGCTTAACCGACTGAGCCACCCAGGCACCCCTAAAAATACTTAAATACACCTTTCTACATCAATAGCCATTTTTTCCCCTAATCATGCCCACCAATAAATTTTTAACACTTATAGATATGCTGTTATGTGCCATGTCCCTTTGGAGGGCCACAAACCAATATACTCTCTGAGTATATTGAACTATCTGAGATATTTTTGTCCCTAGTCCCGTACCCAAGAATCAGTTATCACTCCCTTAGGAGTGATCTTGCCCCACCACACTCCCAAACCTCCCTCTTTGAGAATACTGGTCTATGCTGACCGGAAAAGCCTCTGATGGGCATGTCTTATGGAATCTGCAATTTCCACAGACATCTTAACACGGTTCCTTGACACAATAGTGCACACGCAGACCACAGAAGATGCAGGACAGTCCACTTCAAATCCAGCCCCCGTTCTGACATTTACAAGCTTCGTAAAAAGAAACATACAAGTTAAGTCAAAAATCTTGATCATCTGTTTTTTTCTTCCTATTTTCAAAGAGGAAAGAATTATCACTGGTAATTTTTTTAAAAAGATGAGACTGGACAAATTATCTTGTCTGAGCTAAATCAATATGACCTTCTGTGTGTTTTACCCACTGTTGTATGATATATAATCGACCAAATGATGAAAACCGACAGAGAAGAGATGCTACACAAGAGCTCAGAGTTATTAAATCATAGGCTAACAAGCCTCCTGCATTGAACTGCCAGATCGCAGTTCTCTGTCTCCTACGTTTCAATTTAAATAATCTAATGTTCTGCTCAAGGTCAGAAGCATCTTGTGTTCATTCATTGTGATGAGGTGAGGTTTTCGCTGAGTGTTAAGAAATGATAATGATCATTTAACAAGTAGGACAGAAGATAATCCATTGCTGAGAATAGTATCCGCAACCAGCTAGAAAAGTTGACTATGGAAGAAAATGTACTCAAGACACATGCCAGTGGCTTGACACTTTGCCGGAATATTCTTCTTCTTGGTGTGTGTTTTGGACTGAATTCTTCTTATACACCAAACACAGCCCCACCTCACTCTCAAATCAGTTCAATGAATTGTGCTTCAGTAGCACATATCCTCAGCCTACAATGAGGCGATATTAACAAAAATAGCGTACATGTGAAATTCATACTTACTGTAAGAATCTTGTGGAGGCTATTGATCACTACATAATACAATATACTCTACAAGACAGTCGAAATTTATCTTTGTCTTCAGCCCCAGTAATAGTTGTCCTTCTCCTAAGCAGCTAGTTTATTTTTAGATACAAACCATGAACAGTAAGCCCTTGGCATTTGCAGATTAGATATTTGCAATTTCAACATTCAAATGAGACAAGTCAGATGACTCTCAAGTTAATCTCACAACCACCATAAGCCGGATGTGGTAGGAAATCTGTGCTAATAAATGAGGGTGATGCCCCAGGGTGCACACATTAAGAAAGCATAGTTCATGGAGGTATCAGAGTGAGCCTCATTGTTCCTCGCCACCTGCCATGTCTGATCATGCTTTACTCCTCATCTGGCTGCTAGAAAACTCGTAGTCAACGTTATATTTCCCTTCAGAAGCGAATTAAATGTCCCTGCATTGATTGTGGGCACCAACCCACTTCTTCTTAAGGATTCCATTTTAATGCAATTAAGTTCAGAGTTTCCAGGTACCGTTCGAAAGGACCCAGTGGTCTGCACAGTGTCACTCTGCCCCAAACAAAGTCAGAGAGCTCAGCTCTGGAGGACCCCCGAACTGGGCTCTGCAACAGGGCCAGAATGAACAGGCCAGAATGGCTCTCCCTGGTTCAGTGACATTCCACGACCAGAAATGCTCACTTCGAAAAAAGAGTTCCATCTTGGCTGACAAGAAGGATAAGGAAAAATAAAGAAGTGGAAATACCCATCTTTCACCCACACTGAACCAAAAAGAGGGCATCTTTCCCAGCAAATAAAGGGGAGAGTGCCAATTCCAGCACACTGAGTTTTGAGAATAACTTCTGGGTATTTGCAGCAGAGCCACTCAGCAAAGTGGTTTACCTCCTAAGGGGAAATCCAGAGAAAGCACATGTTGGTTGCCGACCCAGCTCCAGAATTTCTATACAGAAGGCATTTAAGGTAACCTTCTGGGTGGAAGCCAGGAGGGATGCAAAGCCAGGAAGGGGAGACGGAATGAAATGGCCCAGAGAAATCCATAGAGTTTTAGCACCCTTCCCAACAAGTCACCCTTTAGAACAGTCACCAAAAATAGGTCAAATAGGGGTGCCTGGTTGGCTCAGTCAGTAGAGCATGCAACTCTTGATCTCGGGGTTGTAAGTTGAAGTCCCATGTTGGGTGTAGAGATTACTTAAAAATAAAATCTTTTTTAAAAATATTGGTCAAATATTTCCAGCAATCAAGACCCATTTTATTAATAATTTCCCCCCAATACTATTATAGGACCTGTCTGTACTTCACATATTCACTGAATAAGTTCATTTTAAGTGCTTTCTTTCATGGGCAAGCAAGATGCCTGATTCTGGGGAGACTTGAAACATGTAAACCTATTTTCTGTCCACAATGAATTTATAATCTAAAAGCGTATTTAGACAAAGACACAAATTATCATATTCTGCAAGTCAGAACAACACCAATGCTATCAGAAAGGCACAAATAGGTTATAGCAGAAAAGGAAAGTTCACATGTTGCTGAGGAGAATAATGGAGAAACCATTTGTGGTTAGGGGCTTGCTGTACCACTCCCGGCTTGGCTATCCATGATTCTAGGGCAGTCTCCAGAGACCTACAAAGGTCCCTTAATCATAGACATCAAAATGTCATCTGAAGTGAGAACTGACAAAATCCATTACAATTAGTCTTGCAGAACTTTCAGACTTGACTCTAGAATGTTGTGTGTCTTGAATCCTCATGACAACCACACAAGGTAATAAGTGTTATTATTCTCACAGATGAAGAAACTGAGCACAATGGTCACCCATTAAACATCATCACCAGGGCACCTAGCTGGCTCAGTCAGAACAGGTGACTCTTGATCTCAGAGTTGTGAGTTCAAGCCCCACGTTGGGTGTAGATATTACTTAAGTAAATGAAATTTAAAATACATACATACATATCATCATAGTCAGGATTTAAACCTAAGTCTATTGAAGTCACCCGTGTTATTCTCATTACTCCATTCTGCCTCTTGCAAGTGTAACACTTCCTAGTAATTGTATTTTACCAAAAGGCAATGTTTCAGAGGGAAAAGTATTTAAGAGCCAAAGGAGCAAAGCCTTGGTAAACACTGGACCTTTCCAGGGGAAGCGGGGGTGGGGGGGATTTTTGTTAAGATGATCTGATGGGGGCGCCTGGGTGGCTCAGTCAGTTAAGCGTCTGACTTCGGCTCAGGTCATGATCTCACGGTTCATGGGTTTGAGCCCCATGTCGGGCTCTGTGCTGACAGCCAGCTCAGAGCCTGGAGCCTGCTTTGGATTCTGTGTCTCCCTCTCTCTCTGGCCCTCCCCTGCTCACGCTGTCTGTCTGTCTGTCTGTCTGTCTCTCTCTCTCTCTCTCTCTCTCAGAAATAAAACATTTTAAAAAAATTTTTTTAAAGATGGTCTGATGAATACATCCCAAAGGCACACAGACCTCTCCATTATTCTTAGGGCTCTCATTTATCTAGCTACAATTTTTCCTTCAGCAAAATCACTAGATATCAGTCTCTTTTGAATATTAATAATAAGAGGTTTTGGATGACTGTAAATGAGTAGCTAGGATCCTTGTACTGACAGCCAAGTGTCCTAACAGGAAAACACTCTGCATCTCTTTTCCAAAAATCCTGTAGGTGGCATCCATGCACTGGTTTCAGCAAAAGGAAACACTGCCCTTTCAGGAATCACATTAGGCAAATAGCATACATCAAATGCAGCAATTCTTTTCTTTCTTAGTGAGGAAGAAAGAAGTATAGCCTTGTTCCCTGTACCTTCTCCCTTTTAATAATGCTATGTTCACCTGGAGGAGATATAACCTGTGTACTGAAGGGTAAGTGCCAGATTCCAGACACCTCTAAGCCTCAGCAGATAACCATATGACCTTGAACAAGCACCTAACCTCTAAGGGTTCCTATTTAGAAAAAGTTAAGGGTGATCTAGACAGCCTCTAATGTACCTTCTGAACTCAAAAATTTTACTTTGTTCCCCCCAAAAAGAATCCTGAGTGATCACAAAGGGAAAAAAAGGAATCTGTAAAGTCAAAGTTGAAAGGGACTATGAGAATGATCCAGCTCAGAAAACCATTCTGTTTTCAGAAGTCCTCTTCCATATCTCCCCAGAAGACTGATGGCCTCCAGGAGTCAACAGTTCATGAATTCTCAGGATAGCCCATATGACTGCTGGAAAGTTCTTTAAAAAAAAAATTTTTTTTTAATGTTTTATTTATTTCTGAGAAAGAGAGACAGCGTGAACAGGGGAGAGTCAGAGAAAGAAGGAGACACAGAATCCGAAACAGGCTCCAGGCTCTGAGCTAGCTGTCAGCACAGAGTCCGATACAGGGCTCGAACCCACGAACCGTGAGATCATGACCTGAGCCGAGGTCGGACGCTTAACTGACTGAGCCACCCAGGCGCCCCATCTACTGGAAAGTTCTTAATGCTCAGTGCCATGCTGGCCCTAATCCTGTATTCTATAGTAAGGCTCACCCCATGGGCCAACTCTCTATTTACTGGAAAGCAGAGATCATGCCCCCAACTTCATATACTCTTACACATACACAAACCCCAGAGCCTGTCCATATCCCTTTTCATTCTGTTTTTTTTTTTTTTAATTTTAAGTAATCACTACCCCCAACATGGGGTCCAAACTCACAACTGAGATCAAAAGACACATGCTCTATCAAATGAGCCAGCCAAGGACCCCCGTCTACACCCCTTTTAATCCTGCTACCTAGAAGTGATTAAAATGCTCCAGATAAGTCTAACTAAAGTGGAGTAGAACAAAACTATCAACTCCCTTCTTCTAAATACTGTACCTTTTCAAAATAAAATAAATAATAAATACTATACCTTTACTATTTCACATTATTAATAGCACACTGCACTATTGATTCTTAAACAGCTCTAGCCAATTAAAACTTCTAAAGCAGGGGCGTCTGGGTGCCTCAGTCAGTTAAGAGTCTGACTTCAGTTCAGGTCATGATCTCGTGGTTCATGAGTTTGAGTCCCACGCCAGGCTCTGTGACAGCTCAGAGCCTGGAGCCTGCTTCAGATTCTGTGTCTCCCTCTCTCTCTGCCCCTCCCCCACTCGCACTCTGCATCTCTCTCTCAAAAATAAGTAAACATTAAAAAAAAAAAGACTTCTAAAGCAACATGGTCCAAAATGGCAGGCACATGTGATTATTGAGTACTTGATATGTGGTCAGTGCAACTAAGGAACTCAATTATTTTAATTTTATATAATTTAAATTAAACTGAAAAATAGAAACTTAGTTCAATTACTGGAAACCTTTTTTTTTTTTTTTAAGTTTTATTTATTTAGGAAATCTCTACACTCAACCTAGGGCTCCAGCTCATGACCCTGAGATCAAAAGTCGCATGCTCTTCCAACTGAACCAGGTAGGTGCGTCAGATATCTTTTAAATAAGTTGGAAACAACTTGGATATATGAATCTACTTTTTCACCTGTAAATTTTATGAAATCTAAGTACAGATCAAGTACGAAAATTTTGCTTCTGGATTGAGATGTGCTCTGTTTAAAATACACACTTAGCTTTCAAAGGTTTCATGTAAGAAGTATAAATATCTCAATCATTTTATATTGATTATATGTTGAAATAATATTTTGGATAAATTGTGGTTGACAAAATATATTATTAAAACTAATTTTATCTAAATCTTTTTACTTTTATTAATGGACTTACTAGAAAATGTAAAATTACATGCATAGCTTATACTACTCTCTTAGGTCATGCTGCTTCAAATTTGATTCAGAGTAGCCGCCACTCTCAATTTTCTGTGCAAATTTGTCCAGCTGGGTTTTCAGATTCTAATGTAGAACTTCATATTAATGTCCTTTACATTTGTATTTCTTCGGTCTGATTTATTATTTTAACCGGGCAATATGGTCTTTTGGAATTCTGATCCCATACACTTATAAACCCCTCCAACTTCATGTTATCCACAAACATGATAAGTAAACTTAATTTATAGTCATCTAAGCCTTTGATTACAATATGGACAAAGTCAATACTGAAGACATTATTAGAAATCATCTTTCATGTTAGAAACAGCCCATCAATTAAGCATCACCTTGGATGTGCTTTTTTCTTTTTTTTTAGCTAAATAATAATTCAGCTAACTGTAACAGTATACAATCCGTAGTTTTCCATCATGTACTAGGTTGCTCTGATCTGCCTATCTCCTGTCAAAGAGATGATGTGTGGAAAGCTCAGGGCAATTGGTGAAGCTCAGGGTCAGGGTCAGGGTAGGCCTGGGGCTGGGAATGAGGCATCTAAGGAGACAAAGACGGGCAGTGGCTGAGATAAGCAAGGCTGCTGTCTTGAGAGAGAAGACCATCTCAAACTGCCTTGGGCTCTCAGATAACGGGGTGAGAATGAAGGGGCCTCTGGGGCCTAACAGAGCTGTGACATTTAAGCAAGCTTGCCAGGTGGAGGCAGGTACACTGCTGCGTAGAAGCCCAGGGTGCGCCAGCCCTTCCCTTTGGCTCTCAGCTCCATGGGTCTCCCTTGTCTTAGGGTCAGAGAATCTTAGAGGACTCTTACACATTCTATCACTCCAGCTTCTAGTCTGTTCCGCATCATCCCTGCTAACTTGGACCTGCGGGTCATCTAGTCGCTGCCTGACCTCTGCCAGCAGGGGGCTCACGATTTCACCTGGAAATGTTCATTTGCAAAAAAAAAATTTTGAAATGTTTAGCACCCTTCCTTAAATTAAGCAGAAATCTGACTCTTTAAAACTTAACTCACTGGTCTTCTTTCTGCCTTTTGAATAAATTTAGTTCTTCTTTGACTTAACAGGTACAGTTATACAGCAAGGTAGGAAGTGACCCTCTTAATTCTGTTCAGATCCAGGTGGTCCTAACACTTTCAGTCATTATTTGCAATGAGTTTTCATTTCTTCACCATCCTGGGTGCCCTCCTATCGACATCCCTCATAAAGTACAGCACCCTGTACTGAGCACAGTACTCCGGCAGTGTATCAGCTCCCTTCCTCCTGACTCTATCCTCCCTCTAACAGAGTCGAATGGTTTCAGGCAGTCACATTATACTGCCGACACATTCAGAACTTGCAATCTATTTGAGCACGTAGGTGATGTTACGCAATGCTATTTATTGCATGTGTACCCCCACGCAGCTAAGCCGGACAACGCAATATTCAGTGTGGCACACTGTTCCCCGGAGCCCAGACGTGTCCTCAGCTTCCTTCTCAACACAATCTCCAGTCAGCCACCGACAGCTGACACACAGAGGCGGCCTATTTGGCACCTAAGTGCCAAGTTAAAGCTGCCCCCTCCTCCCACCCCACTTTTGCAGCTGATTTTTATCTGACAAATCAAAGGCTTTCACATTACTCTTTGATTGAATTTATCGTTAGTAGATTGACCCCAACAAGCCCAGTTTCATCATCTGCATAACATAGTGCTTAACAAAACATCTATGACACCATCCAAATATTTCCCTTCATTTTATTTTTCTTTTAGTATTGCTCCTGATGATTACTAGAAATTATCTATATTATCTGATGTCTCTATTGAATGGACTTTTATGTTCTCTCTTTAGTTTCATTCCATTTCATATTAAATTAGCTGCTTTTTAAAATTCCTGTGCACTGTTTTTTTTATGTCTACTTCAGTTATAAACTTGCATTGGAAGTCTATGGGATTCATGAAGTAAAGCATCTATGTGAAAATGTGTCACCACTCTTAAACTAGCCTGTTCTTCAATCCATGTCAGTAATTTCTTATGGGAATTGGTAGGCTCCATGATCAACAACTAACATGTTCTTGTTTCATTTTCATGGTCATAGAAGCCATTAGGGCCAGGGCAGAAGACCTGAATTCTTTAAGAGTATAAACTGGTACCAAGCTTTTGTTTTCCCCTGGTGAGTCTCTCATAGGTGTATGCAGCAAGTAGAGCATAGAAATGGAGTGTTCTGGTTTTGAAGTTTTACATTATGTGCAACAAACACACTCAGCAAGGGGGACAAAGAATCGTAACGTCATATTCTCTGGTTCCTACAAAATTGACACTTGAGGTTCAATATTCAGAGTAAACCAGATCTTTTGGAAAGCTGTCTTTCAGCTCACTGGCAAGAGGCAAGTCTTTGGTTTCTGAAGCAGTGTTTTAGTCAAATGGTGTCCTGGGGGCTGAAAATGCAGAATTTTACGCATTCAGCTTGATCCCACTATTACAGAACTCTGTGTCACCAGAGGTCAGACTACGTTAAATAGATGTTGAACTGCTGGCCAGCCTCATTTACCCAGATACATGCGAGCCGGATATTCTAGTTAATAGAATGTGATTCACATAATTTCTTCGGTTCTCCCTATCCTTTATCCAGCCACTGTATTATTGGGGACATGATACTCTGCTAGACAGTCTATACTCTAATTGAAATTACCCAAAGACAACAGTGTGATGAAGTGGTTTGAGCATAGAAGCTGCAAAGAGAGATCCATTTTCCAATCCAACTAGGAGGTTAATGATTATATGTCACTTTGGAAAATCATCACCTCTTTGTAGAAATGAAAACTAAGTCCAAATGCATGTTGCTTTGTGTTGGATCAGACCCTCTAACCTTTAGGGGGCAGAGGTCAAGGCCTCATTCCCACCCTGCACTCCTACCCCTATAAAGGAGCTCTGATAAAGGACAAAACAGGGGCGCCTGGGTGGCTTAGTCGGTTAAGCGTCAGACTTTCACTTAGGTCATGATCTCGCGGCTCGTGGGTTCAAGCCCCGCGTCGGGCTCTGTGCTGATTGCCAGCTCAGAGCCTGGAGCCTGTTTCAGTCTGTGACTCCCTCTCTCTCTGACCCTCCCCTGTTCACGCTGTCTCTCTCTCTCTCCTAGAAATAAATAAAACATTAAAAAAAAAAAAAAAAGGACAAAACAGTGTCTGCAAGATGTAAAATTTAGAAACTGGACTAGAGAGTAGAACTTTCCATGGGAGGAGAAACAGAGCTTAAAAGGCCCTGCACCAGAAAACAAGTGTAGGGAAGAGGGACTTATTCTCCCCCTAAATGGGACCAGCAAGGACCCCTATGGTGTCCAGATTAAAGGAAACAAACCCAGAGCAGGTAGATTACAGCTGACTCTTCCTTGGGCCTTATGGCCAGAGGAAAAAAGAAATCTGAGGTCCCCACACCATCCTCCTCAGTTTAGCAATAGGAC